GTAGTGTAGTTTAACCTGTAGTGGTGTTGGTACAGCTCCTTTTGAGAGCGAAGTGCGGCCATTGTGTAAAGGCTGTGGAGGCTGTTGGAAATAGTTTAATGACCCTAGCCTTGTTCCCCTGCAGCCTGCTTTTAACGGAAGGACCAAAGTACTGCTCCTACAGTGCTGATACTTCGTGGCCTTTTCTTTGGTGGTGTAATACAGAGCTGTTTTACAACAGGCATGTCAGCTCCGTTCCGTGGTGGCCGTGTCCTTGGGTCTCTGGTGCCGCGGTGGCTGGCAATGTTGTCACGGCTTGCATGAGCATGCGGCTGCGCTGCGGCCGACCTCGGGCAGGCATTGGGTCTTGTGACGTTCTTAGCTTGGCTGCCTTACAGAAACGCTTCCTGTTTGTCTCCTCCTCCTCCTGCTTTTTTCTCTTGCCAGTTCCTAGATTGTGCAGTGTGCTATTTAAACAAAACGGTTTCATGGGTTGTTTGTATACTTTTGCATAGCTGTAACTTTCCTACAGTGGAAATCTGCAGCTTTGTTCTGTAAGGAATGCAGCGTTTGCCAGGCACATTTGTGTTTCACAAGTCTGCACTTGGAGTCAGTTTTCAGTAAGGAAAAAAAGAAGATTCGGAAGTATGTATCTGAGTGATCAGGAGGGTGAGATGAGGTGGGGGCCCGGTGATGAGTGTGCCGAGCTGATTAGCTGGATCTTACTCATTCTACTTGACAGAACTTGATGAACATCATTTATCAGGATCATTTACAGACAGTGGAAGCTGGAGGGGGAGGGATGTCTCTGAATGTTCCGGAGCTTTGTGTGAGTCTGTAGGTAGTGATCTTGGATCGTTTGCTCTCTTGGGGAGTTGGATTGTTTGCTCTCTTAATTTACAGAGGGATTTGTGGGCTGTGTAACAAATGAGTATTCAGATTGCACGTAGAGAAATAGTTCTGTAGCAGATAGTGTTTCCCCTTCCTATTACACGATGGAAAATTATGTTTCGAAGTTTCTGCATAAGCTGATACTGATGTGAAATGGCAAATGACTTACAGCTTCAGACAACATTGTGGCATTGCAGATTCGCTTTCCCTTTTCAATTGACATGTCGGTATCATCCTCGCCTAACCACTTGAAGCTGCTCTAAAAATACAGCAAAAGGAGGCAGCTGGTAACTGTTGCAGTAGCCACTTCAGTTCAAGCTGAGAAAGCAGCCAGTGTTCCTTAGCCTGTAGACCACTAAATAAGGTGTATCAAACACAGAATTGTTATTTTTTTTAATGTGTTCAAGATGTTTGTTGAACAAATGTTGCTACTGTAGTGCGCCCCTCCTCCTGTCTTTTTAAATGGCACTAAAAAAAGTAAAAAGTCAAATCGCTACTGGAATGCTGATTATTGAGGGAAGACATACCTGCCTGTACAGGTGGGTCTGAGAGTCCGTGTAACTGTCTGACCTGAAAGTCATGAACATCCCTGTCTGTTGTAAGGACCAGGTTCCAGGGCTGTGTGGTGTTCCTTGACACGACAAGGGGTGTGCTGGGGGTCTGTCTCTCTTGTGTCTGCTCTACTTTTCAGCCTCGTGCCTTCATGTCAGCACCACATCTGAAAGGACTAACATGCCCTTTTCTTTACAGATGAAGCCAAACTGTCTCCCTTTAATTTAGATTATAAGCAGTTCAGGGCAGTGACTGCGCTTTCACTGTGCGTTCCGTGGTGCCTGTCTTGTTAGAGTCCTGACTAATGCCTGAAGCTCCTGGCCTAATGTAACTGTAAGTAACAGACGGTGACTGCTTCAAGATCTGAACTGAGGAATACCTAGAGAGCTGAGATTTAATGCAAGTACCTACTGAGCCAACCACAGAGAGATACAGAATGCAATCTTCAGCAACCTTTAAAAAAATCAGTTGTGTAATCCTCTCGGAACAGAGCAACTGTAGGTCACAAATTTAATACAGACTTCTGTGTTTAATCTCAGTGGGAGTCACTTCCATGTTATTTGAGTTCTTTGTGGGAGGAGATGTTTATGCAGAATATAAACTACACATTTCTAATGTGATGCAGTTGGACCAAAGTTCTTCCTAAAAGTTAAAGCAAACAAATGAGCCATCTTTTCCTATTCCCTGGTATGAAGTACGGAACATTTTAGTGGACGCTGGTGTTTTTGGCATTGTACAGGGTTGGTGGACTTGTTTGCTGGCTTTATGCAGAACACTTAAACCTGGTGTGAACTCTGCAGAGTGAGCACTACTTCAGTATAATTCAACATTTGACAAGCAATCAGTGCTGGTATGTGAAATATCTGAAGGTGAAGTTATAATTGTCTGCTACGTGGTGGAAAGTAAGAGTAATAGTTTGCATCGTAATGCTTTGACCTGCTGGTTGAGAACCAGTTCTATGCATAGATTATAACACAGTGAAAGCAAAAATGTTATTTCGAAGTGGGAGATTGCTGCTTGGATTTTAATGCGAGGAAGACTGTTTCGTGTTCCTGGCAAGGAAGGTGTAGGGTAGTGGTTTGTTCATGCAGCACTTAATCTGTGTTGAAGTGCGTGAATGGTTTTGGCTTCTGTTTCCGTTCGGTTAATTTTTCACCTTTCAGTCTGTGTACTTCAGGGTCAGGTTGGGCTGGTGGTCCATTCAGCCTGTTTTTCACTGATAATGGCTGTTTAAGGGCTTCCCTTTCTCTTCTGTTTGCCAGTGCCAAATGTTGGTTTTCTTGATAAAGTTTTGGTCAAATTAGACAAACTTCTTCCACTTTCCCAATCTGAAATGTGAGCCAAACCAGCTCTACCTGGCTGTCCTCTATCTACTGCAAGATTACAATCACAGTTGTGGGAACTCTTCAGCTTTAGAAATAGGAAAATTGGAGTTTGGAAATCCAAAACCAGAAAACTGAGACACGCGAGCAAACGTGTTTCTCAAGTGAAGTAAGAATTGCAGCAGTTGAAAAAAACGCTTCTGGAGTCTTTACTAAAGAGTTTAAAGTAGTTACTTCAAATAATATTTCTGTGGACTGTGCTTTTTTTTCCAGTGAACATAGTAAAAATCTTAGCTTTAAACATTCTTTGGATTGGGCTTGTGAATTGAAATGCAACAACTATTTGTAGTAATGAATGTAAATCCAGAAAACAATTCTTTAAGACGCAATGTTAGCTGGTTTATTTTTCTCTCTGATCTAAATAAGAAAGGTGAAATCTAGTAGTGGAAAAGTATATTGGCTTTTCTAAACAGCAAAACTAGTCACTTTCCCGATTGAAAATTGACCCCCTCCTTGCTTGTCCTTTTCATTAGTATTTAATTTTATAAAGAAGCTTCTTTCACTTTTGTTAGCTTAGTTTTCTCTGATAGTCTGTGATCTTAACAGTTTGATATGTACTGTGATTTGTAGCTTGGTGAACGTATTTTGGCATTTTACTGGAAGTCCTGTGTTAGCCTGCTCAGGTGATCCTGCCCTGGGGCAGCTTCTGCGTGCTTCTGCTTCCCCAGTTCCTGGCTCTAAGGTGTGAATCCAGGCAGGGAAGGCTGTTCTCAAGCTGCTCCACAATAAAGAACAATAAAAATAATTTACAGGTATGCTAGGATTTAATCCTCTTCCCTTTGTCCCTTCTCGCATACCCTTGTGTCTCTGATGTCTTATTTTTCCTCTGTGACTCTTGACTGGCTGCTCCAGTTATTTATAGGGTGTAGAAGAATTAGGTGGCATCATACCCTTTCGTATTTTTTGGATAATTGAAGTTGTCTTTTTATTGTTGTTTTCTACCCTTGCGGAAGTGTACTTGGCATTTCATTTTTTTTTCTCATCATATTAGTTGGCTATTTGAAAGTGTAATGCTATTTCTGTAAATTCTGTGGTGATGGATAGTTGTTAACGATTTTACTTCATTCAGATCCAAGTGTTGTGTGTTGTAGAATCCCTCCTTCCATGTCACGATCCAAGTTGGAGGTCCTCTCAAAATTTGGGCATTCAATATCGGTTTAGTTGTAGTTCCAAAATTGCTGTTGTTTATAAAGATGCATATGCATTTTCTTGACTAATGGAAATTTTGCTCTGTTTGCCTGTTTTACTGTGTTCTGCCTGCGTAGGTTGTTAGCTGAGATTTTGTTTCTAATGTGAATTTGCAGACTTTGCTACTGGGTTGGGATGGGAGTTGGAGTATCCCATTTCTATGACTCTACCCTGGGATGGTGATTCATCATTTTCTAGTATTGGCTGTTTTTTCCCTTCAAGCCCTTTAGCTTAAAAACATGCATGTTTATTTAATTCAAGTTTTCTAGACTTAGAAGGCAGCAAAAAAATTAGCTGACATCTTCTGGTGTCTTGAATGGATTGCGAAGGACAGCACTGTGTTACATTCTAACTTTTCAGCTTCTTGTGCATGACCTAAAGGTTAAAAAGCTTTATCGGTGAAGCCTTTACCACTGCAGCATAGGAATAGGTACTGTATAAATGGTGTGTATTGTCATGCGTTGCACAGTAATTTATTCTGTGTTCTTCTTACCAGATTACCAGGCTTTCTGGCAACATCTTTAAAATGGCTTCTTGTATAACTAGTGTTATGAAACAGAAGTGAAGTGCTGTGGCTTTTTTCCCTGTGTTCAGTGGACTGCCTTATTAAAAGCCAAAAGAAAGGTTTTAAACTTTACCAGTGCTTTTGCTACTTATGCTTCTGTTATTTCTGTATTTCAAAATCAAGTAGACCTCATGTGGATGTAATACAAACAAAAGAATTTAAATTTTTCATGGAAAGTAACAGGTAAATGTGTAGCCTGTGACTGAAACCCAAGCCAGAAGGTGGCTAAGGTGGCTAATGCGCTTGTGTGTCAATAGCCATTCCGTCTGTTAGTTGAGTCCCTAGGATAGGATGTAGGTTAATGAACATGACTAGCTGTTTTATGTAACTGTGCTGCTAAGGTGGAGTCAGCAGAGCTATGGCTATCATTCAGGATGTGTTATACAACTGTAATATTGGAGCCAATTCATTTGACACTTTTTTTTTTTTTAAATCTTTTATAGTGTGCCGGTCCAATAAAAGTCCGTGGGTCTGTCTGACGTGCTCGAGTGTCCATTGTGGAAGGTGGGTACAAAGCGTTAGTGTGCAGATCTTTTAATCGGACCTTTATCTTTTTGCTTTGTTCCTCAGCTCTGAGGCAGCTCACTCAGAATTTTCCTGAATGCCTCATAATTCCCTGAAAGAAACCTTTCGTGATCTCATTGTAAAATTGCATTCTGTAAAAGATGTTTCTACTGTAATGAGTTAAAACCAACAAGAATTCTTGGAAACCCGTAGATCTAAAGTTGGCACAGCTTACTTTGGGAAAAATAGAAGCTATCCAGGTTAGGCAGAGAATACCTTAGATGTACTGTAGTGTAGTTTTGGAACACAGTTACTGCCATTACATACAAGGACAAGTTCCCACCAGAATTCCTGCCGAGTACACGTGTGTTTTGTCTGTACTAGTTGAAGTACACCAGAAGAATTTGTAGAGGAGTGATACAGTCAATGCTGTTATTTGCATGTCAGGATAATTGTAGAAAACTTGCTGCTACGTAAATGTTTGAGATGCAGGTATTAAGGAGAGTGCAGTTAGTGTTGGTGTTTAGACAGTGCCTAAGATGTCAGCATGTTTTCATCTGTAGGGCAGCATCCATGCTGATGTGCTTTCATTCTGGAAAAGCGTCATTAAACTTAGTGACTTTGTCTTTTTTAAGTGGATTCAAGAAACTCCATGTTTTGTTTCTTTGATCTGGATAGCAACAAGTGCCACATTTTTAATAATGTGTCTTATTCAGAGTTTTCAGCACAACCGCCTTTTTTCTGTTTTTATTTATTCATTTATAAAATAAATTTATACTTAGTGAGAGCTAAGAGAGGGGGAACTACTTCATGTTATCTGATGGTGGGAAATAGTTTGGAATATTATACTTGTTACCAGTTTCTAAGAAGTACTACTGCTGTCCGCATATGACCTTTCTTGTGTGCAGTTAGTAGACACTGAGTCAGTTATTTATGCAGTTTGTTCTGACTTTTCAAACTGCTCCCATCCCTAGAATGGAAAATAATTGAATGAGAAGAATGTAATATACCTTGTAATGGGAGCACTTTTGATCATGAAAGCCCACAGCATATTCTCCTGTTCAGATAATGTTTGAAATGAAAGGAAGAGAAACCCAGCTTTTCAGATCTTCACCTGCAGTACGCCCTCCGGGTTGGCGTCGTTGGGACCACTGCTGACCGAGTGACAGCAGCGGGGTGTCTCTGGTGGAGCGTAGCTTGATAAACCTGTCATTCGCACTGGTTGGCAGAAAACAGGCTCCTGCAAGCACGGCTCTCTCATTCGGGTTGTGCCATAATTGCTGCAGGATTGTGCTGGCACGGCGATGTTGAGAGCCCTGTGGCTTCAGTGTCCGGACGAGCACAGCTGCCTTAGCAGAACTGCTTACACCTGCATGGAGAAGTGTAGGACACAAAGACCTTTGTGTGGGGCAAGCGCAGAGTTCCTATCGGTTAGCATCACTGAGTTCAACAAGCAAGAAATGGGGGAGGAGGGGATTCACCAGAGGTCTGGCCGTGTGCGTCTAAGCGTTAATGATTTTCAGCTAATACTTAGGGCTCTTGCATTTGTAATGACACTTTTGGAACTAAAGATGCTTAATTTTCTAGATCTCAAATTTTGAGTCTGAAAATGCTCATTGTGTCAGCAAAAAAGCTGTAGGATTTTAGATTTCTTTTTCAGTTACGTGACCCCCAAGCCCTTGATCCTTTCAAATTTGTGAACTTTATAAAATGCAGAATGCTTTAATAGTAAATTGTGCTGCAGAATGGGAAAGCTTACAATGGATGTGCTTTCATACGGGGTCAGCACACTCTTAAAGTGATCACAAACAGGATCAGTGCTGGGTGGAGAAAAAAGCAGAGCTGTAAGAAAAGTGTATGGGAGAGTAATACGGAGAGCTAGCCCTCTTACAGATACAGAAAATGGGAGCTGATGAGCTTCTCAGTTGTGGAGCTGCATCGGTCTGTTTGGGGCCCAGATCCTGGGGTTTGGTACAAGGGTGCCAATTTGTGGTTGCTAGGAAGGACGTGGAGAGATTAATTTGGGCAACGTGGGAGAGTAAAGGGGTAAAAAATAGAAAATTTAACCAATGTTTTCACACAGGTGAATTGCCTATTTTAATCCCCGTATAAATATTGGATGCTTATTAGGCTGCCTTGTTTCTTCTTCTTTTCAATGAATGTCGGTTAAGTAACTGTTTAAAAGTACAAGACGTTTTTGTTCATTTATTTTAGATATGTGAATGGCCATGCAAAAAAGCATTATGAAGACGCACAGATTCCTATGACCAATCATAAGAAAGCAGAAAAACAAGAGAAAGTTCAACATACTGTGTGTATGGATTGCAGTAGTTACAGTACATACTGGTAAGGGTTTAAACACTGTAATTTGACAACTTCTTACGTACTAGAAGGTGAAAACTTTAGACTCCTGTGAAGCATTATATTACACACATTTCTGAGCACTTCATCTCTTGATTTCCAGACCTGGCTGTTCAAAAACAGTTCTGAAATAATCCTCTGCTTTTGCATGTGTATTGTAGCCCTGGTTGCAGCTAAGCTCCCACATTTCAAATGACTTAGCATTGATTTCAAAAAGTTTCTGCTATTTATGTGGTTTGGAGTTGCTTCTGTTTGCCTTGGGGTGTGTTGGCAATCTAACCTTTTAATTGCAAAAGCTGCTGTTCGGTTGGAGTTACTTCTTCCGTCAAACTGGTGAGCCTTTCACATGTCCTTTATTTGTCAGAATATCAGAAAGTAAAGTCATACGCTATAGTTCCTGCCCAAGAGATGTAAACTTGAGGTGTGTATGTGTGTGTTTTGTTTGGGTTTTTTTACCAATATTAATTTTTTTCTTCACTCTGAAAGAAAGGCTGCTTTCTTTGGTGCAACCTGTATGGGTTTGGGAGAGTGGTGGATCCTGTTGGGAAGCGGCATCAATGCCCTGGCAAGATTAAGTAGCGGAATCACAGAAGTGATTCTTTTAATAGAAGTTTGGCCCAGGCTGATTTATTCTATCAGTTTCTTAGTGAATTATGAGCACTGTTTAGGGAGATTTAATAGTTAGGCTGGTAGTGTCGGGGTCCCCATCTTCCATGTTCCTTAGAGAGCGAAGACTGGAAGTCTATTGAAAGCAATGCTTTCATGCGTCCAGCAGCTTCCATCCTCTCCATTCCTAAGCAGATCTGTTGGCAGCTGCTCCCCATTGCTCGTTAGCTGCATGGTTTCCCATGTATGTCATCGCTGGTGTGGTGCAGCACTGCAGGATCTGAACAGTGCAAATCTCGGGGAAATACGTGTTATGGTCTTGTAAAATCACTGAGTATGTAGCTCCACTGATGAGTATTTTGTTCAAATAATTGGGTGTCTTCTGTGTACTTCATCAGGGAAAAATCTGTTTGCTGAAGTTTGGGTATCTATTTTTGTGAGGAATACTTCTGTAACAAGTATTTGTACCCCCTGCAAGTAAAGTCACAGCTAGTGGTCTCACCTGAAGAAATTTTGTTTGAAGCAACTCAAAAATTACTCGGATGGTGCATGCAGGAGTGACAAAAGCTGTACGGATGTTAAGCACAGAAGAAAGGTTTGAGTGGCTTTGTGATGCACAGGGATTTTGCTTCTAATTACATTTTATTTAAGTGACCAGCATTTTTATCTGCTTCTATGTGAAAACATTAGAAAACTTAAAATTTTTCCGAGTGATACATATGCACATGTTACCAGCTTTGAAACAGCTGTGGGAAGCTAAGTACGCTTTCCCGGTTAATGCTCTTAACAACTTAGTTCTATGTTGTGGCTTTTTGTTTTGTTTTCTTTGAAGTATGATCTGTCTTGTAGACACTCTGAAGGTAGTAATGTATGGAGAAATCTTAGCAAGGTATTTGAAGTCTTGATTATATATCCATTTACTTCTGTCAAATAGTGTGCTCAGGCATTCCCCAACCGTGCACACACTCAGGAAGCTCGCTGGTGTTTCAGAGCATGTTTGTGGTAGGGCGGATGAGAGGCAGTTTAGCGTGTGATGTCTTTGCTGCGGTAATCGAAGTAGAAGGCTGAGTCATCTGTGGATGAACTGGAACTAATTGTGGAGAGCTTTGCCTTGGGGAGTTCCTGTTGCATATAATTCGCTAGCAAATTATAACTCTCCTGTGCTAATGGGAATCTGAACAAGTTTAAAAAGCAGCATGTCTTTGCTTTCATTTAGGATATTTCAGTTTTTTCCTGCCTGATAATCAAAAAAAAGATACCTGAATTTGTTATTGCACCCAATTTTTTCAGTGAAAATGAGCTTAGATGCGTAAAGATGAAGCAGAAAGCATTCAGCCCAGCTCCTCCCCCCCCCTTTACTTCAAACAGTACGGTAGGGGCTACTCTCAAACAATGCTTGCCAGCTGAAGCAAAGATTTGGCTGAATTTGAATCTAGCTGCTGTGGAGACTGAATTTTGAAATGTAATTTGTTAGCTTCTTCAGTGTAGACATGAATCCAGCAGACAGTGTTATGTTTATGCAACGATGTTTCTTTTAAATGGACTTCTATTTAAAAATTAATATTTTATGCTAGCAATGTGGGCAACCTCCGTAATTTGAAAGTTGAGAAACTACCATTCTGAGACTTAATTGAATTTTACTTCTACTGTAAAAATAATGGAGATATTTTGATGCAGTACTGGTTTTTATATTTTTATTTGCAAGTTTGTTTACTGTGCAGAGTGGAGTGGAACACTCTTGTTCCGTTTTTGTCCTGTGGATCCCAGTATTTAGTATCTTAATTAGCTTGCGTGATAGTAGCAGTGAACAGGCCTGTAGTGGCTCTTTGCTAGGCAGGAGGCATTTAATCTTTACTTTTCTTCGGCCATGTCATAAACTTTCATGCAGAACTGAGAGCACAGTCCAGGATTTGCCTTAGCTATTCTTGTCAGTCCAAGGGGAAGAAATACTCTGTGACTGTTGAAGCTACCATGGTTTATTGAATTTTGTTTCTAGTTCACATGCAATCTTGCTGTAAACCAAACCCAGATCAAGCAGTCTCCTCTGATGGCGTTTCGGGGTGGAAGTGCAAGTGTGTATGTTCTCTTTCACGTGATCACAAGCCTTTGATGTAGCTTCAGAAGGAAAGTGTTTCCGTTCTGGTGGGATGGTGGTTGGTTTTTTTTTTTGTTTTTTTTGTTTTGTTTTTTTTTTTTTAATAATCTGAGATGAGGTTTTTATTCTATTTATGAATTTGGTAATCTTTTGAAAAATACAGGCATGCTTGACGTATCATTAAGTATTGGGCAGCTAGGGATTTGCTTTCCAGAGGGCTTTGATCTTTCTTCTGCATCCTCCTATTCGCCTGTTCAGTCTTCACAGTGGATAAGTTGAGAGAATGTTAATTTTTTGTGTATTGTGAGAGTACTGTTCTCTTCTGGATTATTTGGTCACTTTTTAGACAGCAGATGCAGTACTAAATCTTCAGACTGAATTATGTTTGAGACCCTAAACACTGAGAAAAAGACTCCTGAGCTCCACTGTTTGGAGATAGTCAGCCTTTCAGTTAGTTCTGAAGCACTAAGCACAAAGAGTTTACAAGAAGCACAGATATTTTTTCTCTTTGAGCTGTCCTGCGGTGCTTTCTCCTTCTGTGTTAGTGGCTGTTTTTCTGTGCATGAGAAGTAAAATGTGTTAAAAGCCTGCTTTCAGCAATGTTTCCTGAAAGAGGACTCCTGTAAATTTGTTTCCTCTGTGCTAGTGCAGGGACAGTGGGTCAGCACAGAAGGAGGAAGGCTGCCCTGTGTGTGTATTGCATAACATGTCTCCCACGTTCATTAATCCTGGACACAATTTGCAGGTCAGATTTCTGACCCATTAGCCTCCTTGCTGTCTCTTACAGGGACATTTTGTGCTAATGTCACATCCCCCCCTGCCCAGGCTGATGTAAAAATAACTAAGTGCTGAGGACTGTGAAAAAAATTCCTTAGTTTTTCTTTTTGTGATGGTGGTTCTAGTTAAAAAACAGGATTACTGTGCTAGTGCATGAGCATCCGAAAATGAGATTGCTTAGGACCATTATTTTACATTCTACTGTCAGTGGAAATTAACAAGGTAAAAAGCCTTTTATCAAGAGAGTAAAACTTGAGTTCTTACTCATACAAGGCACAAGTAAGGAAACTTGGTTTTTCTTGATTTTTCTTGTCCTGTAATTCTTCAAATCCATTCGAGGCCTTTAAACATAGCGTAAAGTTCTGTAACGTACGGGAACGGCCAGCACTAAGCGTGAGTGTTTGCCAGAGCAGTGCCTGCGTTCGCTGGCTTGCCGCCATCGTAGCGGCGAAGGAGGCCAGAAAAGACCAGGCCTTGGAGGTGTCAGGGGTGCTAAAAATAGACAGTGTGTGGAGAGGAGTATGCTGTGCTAATCCATGTAAGGGACCCTGCCCGAGGTACAGGAGATGTTCTGTACAACTGCTGTTAAAAGCATGTTGTAGAACTGCTGTGTGCAAAAAGGTGTATTGTTAATTTGTGACAGTCCTGAGGATCACAAATTAAACATCTGCTTTGAGTGTCAGCCTCATATGTAGGAAGTAATCTCTCATCAGCGTACCTTGTCAGGTGTGTGGGCTTAGCAAATGTTAAGCTGTTAAAGCTTCCTATGTGGTTTACTTTGCTTGTCCAAACCAGATTGGTAGTAGTGCTATTATTTCTAGTAGTAGTGCTGAATCCTCAGTGTCGCAAGGGAGGTGGTTTAAAAAACCTGCCTGTTAAAAAGAGAAATACAAGCAGCTTGTCTTACTTTTAAGTGAATCTTAACATTACTTTTCCATTGTTGCAAGGACCCTGACATTTAATGATGTATTTGGGTTTATTCCTCCATCTTGGGGAAGGTGCTAACTTGCAGTTTTATGTAAGGATGTAACTGGTACGTGAGATCAGACTAAAAATAAAGGTTAACGTGATCTTTAGGGCATGGGAGCAACTATTAAATCATCTTTCAGCGGTAAGTTGGCTTAGATGCTTTCAGTGAGCTTGCATCTGCTTTCCTTCCCCGTTTACAAGTGCTAGTAGCTACGGCCAGGGTAGCAGCGTGGCTGTGCTGCTGCAGCTGGGGGTGGGCACGCTGGGTGCTGAGGAGGAGTCGGACTGGGCCGTACCCACCAGCACCGTACTTACCGCTCGCCAGAGCTGAGCGGGCTGGTTTGCTCCAGCGTTGTCCTTGAGGAGCAAATGCAGGAATACTTTGTGAGGGAACGGTAGGTGGCTCAGAAAGCTGAATAGGACTCCTTAGAACGTGGCTGAAAAATAAGCACATTTACAGACTTCCCCCCCGCCCCCGAACTAACTGGTCTGTGGCAATCTTCGGGGAAAAAAAATGTCTGTTACTGGCAATAGCTGTCATACGGATACTTACGTGAGATCAAGAAATTAACGGCTGTGTTCAGTGTTTGGAAATCTTGAGAGTCATATTAATTTCTCTTCTCGGAGGCAAAAATCGGCAAAGATCCTGGACAGACTGGTCTTGCAGACCCCTCCTGGTGGCAAGGGCCTTTCTCAGCTCAGTAGTCTCTTCAGCAGCTCGGTGTTTGAATTAACACTCGCAATACCATTACCTTGGAACTGCGTTGCAGGTTTATGCAACAGAGAATGCTGTAAATTCCAGTTCTGCCTGAAGTCTATAGCTTCGTTAGTGCGGAGCCTGAGACGATGAGGATGTATTTCGCATTTGACTCAGTCCTGTGCCAGAGGGAAAGGAGATAAATAGCTACCATTCTGATACTAAACATATCCAAAGTAAGTTAGTTTTCTTCACCAGAAGCGTTGGGCTGCCTGCCAGCGTTTGAAGCTGCAGTTCGATGCCTCCCGGCGAGCACGGGGCTGGCAAACACCGCTCAGAGCCGAGTTACCTCTGCGGGACGTGGGGGCAGCTGTGGCCACTCTCTGTGGCGCTCTCGTAAGAGCCGCTGCAGGTGATGTGAAGTCTGCTCTTACCTCCCTGTTTCTCGCGCCAGAGCCCGGGTTACCTAGTTCTTGAGCGAGCTCTGGGCTAACACCTCGAGAGGCTGGAGGAGGCTGTGCAGAGGGCCTGGCTTCCCGACGTGCAGCTGGGGGGCTGCGGGGCTGGGCTTCCTCGCTGGGTGCACCATTTGTGCTCCTCCCTTTTAAGGGATTTCTGTCCTGCTGTCCTCTCCCCTTGCTGCTGCCCCACCCCTGTAGGCAGGCATTGTCTTTCCTTCACAAGTGGGAGGAAGGGCATTGATAAGAGGGTCCACATCACTCTGGGACCTCTGTTCCCCCTTTTTTTGTGAGGTCAAGAAGTGCAAGGGGTCTAAAATGCAGCAAAGCAGCAGAAGGAATGCTATCTTATGACAGTGTCCTCCTTGTGCCAGTTTTCTTTGCTACTCTGTCCTTTCATTTCTTCACATCGACCTGTGCACTGTGGATTTACATGTACTCAGGAAAACAGTTGAAATAAGGTGCGGGGTTTTTTCAACATTCCCTGAAAGACCCTGTTCCTCCCCTTTAGAAATGATCTGTAACCTTTGCCGTTGTGCAGTGTGTGGAGCGTTACAAGGCCACAGTTTGTGTATGAAGTTATAACGAACATCATTGCTTCTTGGGAAATGTGAGGTCTTTGTAGAACATTACAGGATTGTAGACTTTTGTAGCCCTTGCTTTAGCTGAGAGGCCACTTGGATTTGGCTTCACATTTGCTTTGAGGCAATGGGGGGATCAGCTTCTCTCTCTTTTTCAGTGCAGTTACTTCCTTTTGCACACTTACCCTGCAAAAGCACAAAATACTAGCTGAAGTTTTATCAGCGTTTCTGTATATGTAAAAACTATACAAGACTTGAGTGGTTCCTGTGGTTAAAGCAGGAGGTGTGAGTTGGCACAGACTTCTTTGGACAAACCACGTTGTCTCTTAGTGCATCTCCTCTGGTCTTTTTTGCGTAACATAAACTTTTACGTTGTGTGTGTATCTGTTCAGCACCTCAGGCTTTAATGATAGCTTTACGGTATTACAATAAATAAATTTATGCTGTACATTAATAAAAAAGTGGTATTCTGTTTACCTGATGTCAGTTGATCTTTTCTGATAAATCTTCTATGGATTGTCTGCTAATGCTGCTTCTTATTACACCTTATGTTTGAATTTTTGTGGAACTGGAATTCCGCATTGGGACAAGCAGTACGTCATGCTTCTGATTGCTAATAAAGAGCTGAGCTAGAAGCAAAACCATGTAGTAAGGTAGTGCCTGTACCTGCTCTTGCTCTGGAGTAGTTTTCAGACGGAACCAGGCTCAGTGTGTAGGTGTTGTGCTCCCCTGCTCTCCTTGTTATCTTCCACTGAATCCCTTCAGTGCTTCCCACATGTAGGCTGGCATGACTGTTCTGCAGGACTTCGCTGAAATCCTTTGCACATTCTGATCAATGTTTTTCTTGCAGTTATCGCTGTGATGATTTTGTAGTCAATGATACCAAGCTGGGCCTGGTACAGAAGGTCAGAGAGCACCTACAGAACTTGGAAAAGTAAGTTGTTTGTTTCCATCCGGACTGCCTTGGGTGGACTTGCAATATTGCATCATTGAAGTAGTATTCAACAAGTATTACATGTTGAATATATCTATTTTGGTCCTTCTTTGTGTGTGATACTGTGTATATTTAAATACCCTTTTCATCACTGAGAAGCAGAGGTGCAGAATGAATGGATTTGGCTGATCTCATGTGTTTTGGTTCTTATACGGTAGATCTGGTAGGAGCAGTGTGTGGTGATACAGGAATTCAGATATCAATTATCTTTCTTGCTGCCTAGCTAATAATCACTGTCTTTTTTTCATATAAATGGGAGGGAATTTCCAGAACACAATCTATAGTTTTGTCAAAACCAGAAGAAGTTTCTGGAGCAGAGAAATTGAGGCAAAAATGCAGGTGGAAGTAGTCTTCATATTAATTGCATAGTTTGATTTCCTAACAGAAAGATTCAGAAGGCTTATGAATTTGGAATTGTACAGAAGAGATGTGTTTTTCCTCTGCCTTTATCTGGCGCCGTTCCACTGAAAAGCCAATAATACTAAAACCTTTGTGATGCAGATGCTGTGGCCAGAGCTAGAGAGCAAACAGTCTTGTCACAGTTTGCTGGGATGTCTTGTATGATACTAAGCGGAAGTAGGTGTGCATACAGTGCTTCCAAAGACGTTGGAGTGTCCCAGAGTTCAAACAGGCCTCCTGCTAAGGAAGTGCTGTGATTTTGGGAAGTCTCTGGATCCTCCCCGCGTTAAGTGTGTCACTTACCATGGTGGTAATAGGAACACTTTCATTATTTCCATTGTCTTTTTGATGGGTTTCTCGGGTATGTAATGAGACGTAAAGATGTTTAAGCATAATGAGAAGTGCATGTGAGTATTTCGGAAATGTCGAGGAGAGTTAGCTCCTCGGGAGGTAAATGGTACCATGGAGGCTTCCGCTGTGTGTAATGAGTTTTTGAATGAAAAAAAAAAAATCTGGAAGAAGTTATGGTTTGGTATTAAATTAGAGAGAAGCCATAAACTGGTAGAATTGAGGGGCCAGTAATTTCCAGTGATGTGGAAAAGAATAACTAATTGTTGTTATAACTTTGTATTAGTATCACACAAATGTTACAACCTCATGTATTTTTATTTAAGTAAGAGAAGTCAGCTACGAGACAGAAGTGCTAGCACTCAAGATGTTCTTGATTTTTTGATAACTTTGTTCTGATTTGTTGAAGATGTCTTTCTAAAGGCTTGGCTGGTTCTTCTGACAGAAGTATGTTATGATGTTATGGAAAATTCTGTATGAAGCATTCCTTTGATTAAGGAAAAAGATCAATATTTCTGATGAAAAGTAGCATGCTACCGAGGCCACTCCTTGGGGTGCGTACTGTAGCATGCATAACTGAAAGCAGTTACCCTCGGGCATGAGTGTTGAAAATAGGATGTGCCGGTGTACTTCGAGGGAGATGCGGTCTGTTTTAAGACTGGAAACACATGTGGCGATCAGGAAGCTCTTTGCTGTCAGTAACTGTCTTAATGACAACTGATGGCAAAGGTCCTCACCGCATTAAATACAGGGATGATTAACTTTTGTCCATTTCACACAGTATTTTGTTTTTATAGTAAGTAACCTCTTTTCATTACTTTCCAACAGTTCAGCCTTTACATCAGACAGACATAGGAAGAGAAAACTATTGGAAAACTCATCTCTGAACAGCAAGTTATTAAAAGTAAATGTAAGTATGACGGATCCAGTACAGGGAGCGTAAGGGGTTTTTCTAAACCTCTTGGTGCTTATAGTTGGCCTAGACTTGAAGTACTTACAGTTGGTTACTCAGGTTCTGCTTTGGTGCTCTTTGTCTTTCTCATCTCCTGACCCCCCCACCTACAAGAGTGATAAAAGTCTCACAAAAGAATGTTTTATACTCTGCTGTGTTTCTGTTGACCTGGCCTTTGAGCTTCCCCGTGCCTGAGAAGGGTTTCATGCCGAGAGGGCGCTTCAGGACGGTTTGAGCGTGGTGGGATCAGCGAAATTGTGCCCGTTGGGATTAAAACAGGGCTAGACAGAAGATTTTCTGAGCAGGCGAGGGTTGTTTGTCATTTTTACAGTGCAGAAGGCAGAGAAGCATGTGCACCATCTTTTTCTAGGTGGATAAGAGAGTCATTGGTAGGAAAAAATAAAAAATTTTAACAAACTTTTAAAAGAACTTAGTAAAACTTGCTTTCAGAAGGAACTGTGGACTATGAAAGCTCTTCTCATCTCTGATCTCCCTGTTATTTTAACTTCCCATCTGCAGAACAGCACCCAGGAGAGGATGCTCCAGCCCTTGCTAGATATCTGAAGGCTGCATAGTTTGTTCCAGAAAAAGAATGCTCCAACCCAGATGTCTCTGTTTTCCATGGTGTGGGTTGAGGGAGTTTCTGATCTGCCTAATTTCTGCCAGATTTGAGGGCGGGAGAGGGGAGACACTGACCTAGCTGTATGTAGCTGCTTCACTTTCACCCCTGGCCAGGGCAGAGCTGCTGGTGCTTGAGGCTGAAGGGCCGCCGCGTCGTCACAGGGAGCTGAAGCAATAGCTGTCCTCAGCTACGAGGAGCCGTTACCTGAGCACAGCGAGAGGTTGTTCGTTAGAGGGGTGTGAATGGAAATAAGAGGGTAGGAGCAGAGCAGTCAGTTGCTGTTTTGCAAAGTCTGTAAGGATTTCATTACTTTTAAAATGCGCTATCTGCAGTCAGTGTAGGGCCATCTGAATGGGCTGCGTGTGCTTCATGGACTGTCCCAGTCTGGGGGTGATTGAGGAAGCCTGGGAGAAATAGTGGGGTTTCCTTTGCTATGGCAACACGTGGCGTCATTGTCTGGAAAACTCAAAGCCAGTGAAAACCAGAAGAAACATTCTAGGCATCATGTAGATACAGAGAATGCAGAATTAGAAAGCATGAACTTAATGCTGCTTTTATTCTTCTGCGTCTGTGCTGTTTTCTCAGTTTGATTAACGCTTGAGTATTGCCCGTGGCAACAGATGATCTTTGTGGTGTTGGCACATGGGATCCTTATGGAGAAAAGACAGGGCACTGCTGTTTGTGTTAATGCCCTGCTGTCTCACCCTGGGCAAGAGCGGGAAAAGAGTGTGCTAAGGACACTGTGGCGTTTGTACTTCAAAAGTTTTCTTCCTTTATTGGAAAACAGGTCTGTCTTTAAACAATTTGTAATGAACTGATAAATTGCTTATGTAAATAATACTTCTTTTTTTTTTTTAACTGGATATATGCAAATATGCTGTTGTCGTTAGTTCTTCACTAGGGATGATGTTTGTGGTAGATTTGGGGAGGAAAAAAAGTTTTACTGGAATGCTTTGGTAACCTAGGTTTGCGTGCAGTCTTGGTGTCAAGTAGTATGTTCATTTTGGGACACTGCTGCTGAAAGACAGGCTAGCTTTTAAATTCTGTTAGAACAATGAAGAATGCTTAGAAGTTCGATGAACTTTTGATGTGGTATTTTGTAGACAATGGAATGTGTCCCAGTGCTGTGAATTCTAGAAATCATAAATGCAGCACTGTCCACATTTCTCTTCCCTCTCCTCCCAGCCCACCCTGAAGATTCACCCTGCTGACCTTGACTTCAGCAAGGCTTTCGACACAGTCTCCCATGATATCCTCCTAGGGAAGCTGAGGAAGTGTGGGCTGGATGAGTGGTCGGTGAGGTGGATTGAGAACTGGCTGAATGGCAGAACTCAGAGGGTTGTCATCAGCGGCGCTGAGTCTAGTTGGAGGCTGGTGACAAGTGGTGTCCCCCAGGGGTCAGTACTGGGCCCAGTCTTGTTTAACTTCTTCATCAACGACCTGGATGAAGAGTTAGAATGTACCCTCAGCAAGTTTGCTGATGACACCAAACTGGGAGGTGTGGTAGATACACCGGAAGGCTGTGCTG